TCTTTGATGGTAAATATATAATAGGGAGGCTGCCTTTACGTCCTCTTTTTTGCTGTACTCTCTGACTCTGTCCAAGGTTTTGCTGTACTCTGACTGCGTGGGTTCCTGGATCCCTTGTGGGTCCCATTCTGCAATGGGTGTTTAGGGGCATCCTAGCTTTATGGGCTATGCGTGGCTCCAACCACCCCTTTACCACACTCCAAGCCTTGCAGATGGAACTGACGTAGTTCAGTCTGTGCGTTGTTACAATTTGGCCTCCGGTCCTCCTTGGGCTCTCCGCAGCCCTGTCTCACACTGTGCTCTCTCTGGCGCTGGGGTCAGTGCACCCCCCAAATGCTGTGCCCTCTCTGGCGCCGGGGTCCCCACGCTGCCATGGGTCCCATAGGAGGCATCCTCCATCCCGTAATAGCTTCACACAACCACCGGTCTTAAACAGCAAACAAAAACACGAGCCCCTAGGCTATAACATAAATCCAAGCTGCCCAGCTATAACATCATTCAAGCCATACCAGGGGTGTTTTGTCCCTCACCAGTATCAGAGGCTGTACCTGCAGTCAGGCCTCTCCCCTTTGTTTGCTCTGGGAGAGCTCGTTCCCCCTTGGCGGCTACAGGGAACCCCCATTCTCGCCTCAGCCCTGGGGTTTATATATGAGCCAGGCCCTGCCCCTTCTGCTTACTCTGGTTGCCCTGGTAACCAGCAGCTGGGGCTCCCCACTCACTGCTAGGGCTCTTTCCCTAGCAGTTTCTACTCTTTAAAGGAGCAGAGTACCTAAGTGCTCTGTGACAATAGGTACATCCAATTTACTTCCTATGCTGCTTTTCTGCATAATTGGACCATATTTTTATAACCCCCTCCCCTGGTTCGACAAATGTGAAGTAATACTTGATTCAAGTCATGGTTGCAGAACCTGGGATGATTTGACGTTGTCTTGTCCTTTCACCTCCTATTTCCAAGATAGAAACACTAGTCTTAGAAGCCCAGTGACAAAAACTAAGGGCACAAATGCAAAATCTAACTTATTTTGATTAGATCTAGAAATATCAGGCAGCAGGTGGGGGAATCCTTCTGAACATTTTGGTATTAAGGCCTCTTTTCAAAAGTATCCACTAGGGCAGGGTTCCTCAATTTTTGCTTGTTCAGCTTCAAAACATGGGCTTGGGATTCAGTAGAGTTGAGTAGCTGTACCTCACAGTAACTTGATTTGGAGTTACATGTGTCCAGAAGTTCTGAAAATCCTGCTCTGAGACATTTTTAGGTTGGTCATTTAACATGAATGATCAGTTCTGAACATTTTTAGTCATGTGATTAGGGTAGCTCCTACATGTCCTGGCAGCAATTTAGGGACCCATTCTGGTAGTTATGGACAGAAACAGTAAGATGAGAATCAGAAAGTGGGAGAAAGGAAATATTTAGCCATATAAAGGTGGGGAACTGAGTGAAATGGTCATCTGCCAACCGGCATACTAGAGTTAGTCTTTAAGGGATGCCACTCTAAGCTGCCTTCTGCCTGACTTTAGACTAACATGACTAACTAGGTGTTTCGTGAAGAAACACCTTGAGAAGCTGGATACCTTCAAGTCAGCTGGCCCTGACAATCTACACCCCAAGGTACTCAAGGAGCTGGTGAGCATCATAGCCCAGCCCTTGGCACGGATCTT